TCTTATCTTTAAAGCTTGAAAAATGTATTTTATTCCAAAATTTCATAGAAACTTACATAACTGTGGAAGAATTATTTCAATTTGTATCCCTCCTCTCCCATACCTCCCAATAAGCAAATTGTGTTGCCAGCATTGATCCTGGGAGTACTTAGGATGAGGTAATATGTTTGTAGCTGTGCTGGGAAGGTATCAGGTGCACTTCAACAGTTGTGAAGCGTCTCCAAATACAGTAAAAACTTCAACTTCTACTCATGTTCATCAGAAATATCACCCCACTGTGAAATATTGCATTTAAGGTGTTCCTTTATTTCCTTATTTCCATTGTTCTTCTCCAATAAATAGAACTTTAGAGAGACCTATCATTCTTAGATTCATAGATTTCCTAGGTTCGAAAAGACCTTAGAGATCATTCAGTTCAACCGTCCCTAATCTCCCATTAAACCATATCCCTAAGTAGTTCATCCACCCTTTTCTTAAACACATCCAGGGATGGGGACTCAACCACCTCCCTGGGCAGCCTATTCCAGTGGCTGACAACCCTTTCAGAGAAGAAATTCTTTCTAACATCCAACCTGAACCTTCCCTGACTAAGCTTATACCCATTTCCTCTTGTCCTATCACCCATCACTAATGTAAAGACCCCTTCCTCTACCTCCCCACCATCCCTTCTCAAGTATTTGTAGGCCATAATCAGGTCTCCCCTCAGCCTCCTCTTCTCCAGGCTAAACAGCCCCAACTCCCTCAGCCGCCTCCCCATAAGTTTTATTTTCCAGTCCCTGACCAGTTTAGTCGCCCTTCTTTGGACTCGCTCCAGGAGCTCAATATCTCTCTTAAAGTGAGGGGCCCAAAACTGGACACAATATTCCAGGTGCGGCCTCACCAGTGCCGAGTACAGGGGCAGGATCACTTCCCTGCTCCTGCTGGTCACACTATTCTTGATACACGCCAGTATCCCATTGGCCTTTTTGGCCACCTGGGCACACTGCTGGCTCATATCAAGCCGGTAGTCAACCAACATCCCCAGGTCCTTCTCCGCCAGGCAGGACTCCACACTTGGCCTTATTAAACCTCATGCCAAATGAGCTTAAAACAATTATGAAAATTTAAATATATCGTTAGTCCATCAACAATAGTACAAAAATTCGTAACACTCCGCACAGGATAGTCTTCTCATTACTGAGGAAACATTAAGCATTTTGTCTTCCAAGAGAAATTCAAATTTTCTAATTTCACACAGATAAAACACAAACTCCTTACTAAATTTGATAGAATAGAAACATTTTCAATTAATAGTGAGGCAGTGAAGAAAGCTTCATGCACATGTCACATTTTAAGTAGAGTTCAGCTACAGCATAACACTCACAAACAGTTCGTAGCAATGGACCACACATAAATACGTACCCTCTTTATTAATGGCTTCAATCTTTGCAGGGTAATAGCGACAGTCTGTCCAACGAGCTAGGACTTCTTCTCCAGGTTTAAAATCCTATTTTATACAAATTTAGTCATTAGTATTTGAATAATTTAGGTATTTTCCTAGAAAGAATTAAACATTACGTGCTGGAGAGATTTAATGTAGGAAACGAAGCAGGAGAGTTTACAAAAATGAGTCAAAGACAAAATAAATGCACCACTTACAACAAATTCTTCATCGTCTTTCAGCCCCTCTTTCCTTAACGCCGGTCGCTCCAAGGGTCGCAACCTGTTGCTGTCCCAGTAAATCCACTCATCGTAGCGATGACTCCAACGTTCAAAATGAACCAACATCTTCCCCTCTTCATAATCAATCTTCTCAATACGAGATGGATACCTTGAATGATAAACATAAACTTATAAACCTCAAAGCTTCTTCAAAAGTTTGTTGGGTTTTTTTTTTGCATACAACAGTGTTCACATGACCATTCAGAAAGGTACACTAATACTTTTTACTAAGAAATCTTCAAGCTTGAAAAATATGAATTTACTAAACTGAGAGTAGGATAACTTTTAAACCAAATGTTATCTGTACTCATCAGTGATACGTCATCAGCTTCATCGTAGTCAGACCATTATACACAAATTCAAACCTCAAACTCCAAGACCAAGACTGGCTGAAACTGGCACTAGAGGTTTGTGCTTATCAGTTTTAAACCTTGTGTTTCTCGAAAGCAAAATCCTGTAAGAGTTTTCATTTGCTTGGGGATGGAGAGGATATAAAATAGTTTTAGGAGTACATTCATTACTTCATCGTATGAAACATTTCTAACTATACCACTGATTCCAGACAAATTCAAGCAACTAATCAGACCCAGAAGTCAACATTCTTCCTTAACTAAGCCACTTACTAATTTATAAATCAGCTTCCGTTATTACACTGCCATTAAATTTGATTCACAGTAACTATTTTTTAGCAGTCATCTGTCTTTTACTCCACATGCACTAGTATAAATATGTCAGTCTTAATGAACATGTGGATTTTATTCTCAGTAGATATTTTACGGGCTCAGTACAACTAACCAGACTGAGCTGCAACCACATCAATTTTAGGCATCTAATTTCCGGTGCGGCATAGGTGTAGTTTAGGAACCATAAAGGCTGAGATTACAT